TGCTCGCGTATTTAAATGTACTCCTGATAAGGGAGCTGCTGAGCTGTCCTCCACCCCCTGAACCTCGTTCTAAGAACGGGGTCATAAATGCTCGGCTGGGCTGGCAGAGCTCCCTTGTTCCTTCCTCCGCCTGATTTCGGGTCTCTTTGATGTCAGCACGGTATTTAGTTCCTATTTTTTTTTTTTTTAAGTCTCGCTGTTTGGACTACCTGGTCTCAAAAGACCATCTGAGGTGCCGGTCCCAGCTTTTTCTGTGCAGTTCTGCAGCATTTCAGATGTCTCAAAAATAAAGTTTTGGATTAGGTACAAAACAGGCATCTCCTGAAAGAAACGAGCGTGTTTGTGGGCATCGTGCGGGAAGCTGCATTCCCACTGTGCCACCTGCTAAGCATTTGTGTTGAGCTGGGGGGCTGGTCTGAGCTGGGACACGAATTGTTTCGTGCCATCATTGCTTTAACAAAGAGAGCAAATGCTGGCGCATAAAATCATAGAAGATGCCCCCGGCAGTGAATTCTGTGGAACGTGGTGTTCTATCACATAAACTTAACTGCCCACCATGTTTGTTATAATTTAAATGTGAACTTTGTCAAGGTCTTGAGGCTTTCGTACTTCCTGCTTAGATAACTGAGCTGAGCTCTCCGAGCGCGAGACGTGCTCAAACTCCAAACGAAATCACCGATTTCTGCAGGTAAGCAGGAAGCGAGATGTGATAGACCCTGATAAGCCAAACGAGAAGGAGATGCAAAGACAGAATTAAAGATAAAGTCTCTCCCTAGGGGGTGAATGTGCCACTGTGTAACACAAAATATTAGGCAGGAAAATAAACCCCAGTGGAAAGCTAATGTGAATAAGGGAACGCAAACGGCAGGTTGAGGTAGTAAGAAGGATATGGGGAGGATGAGGAGCAGTGGAGGAGAGGGAGATTGGTTTCTGGCTTTTGCCGAAGCAGATGGTGGGGCTTACAAAGAAGTGGTGGCTTGCCAGGGTTTGGGGGGAGGCTTGGCTTCGTGCTGCCGTCCACGCAGCCTCTGGGATCTGCCCACGTAACGTGATCGTTGGGATCCGTTCAGGGCCTGGAAATCTGCTGAAAACCTTTCAGGTCCAGGAGTCTGATGCAGATCTCCGCTCCTTGATTGTACCCCGGCAGCTCTGTTTTCAGAACATATCTCATAGCACGGGCAAAATCATTTCTTGTAGATCAGTGAGCATCTAGAGATAAAATCAACTTAATATAAACACAGCTTAACGGTTATAAGCAAAAGCAATTCCAGAAATTAGAAATGCTTTGTGAATCCATGGGGTTTCTTGGTTTTTCGGGGGCACATCTGCAGAGAGGCTGCAGAATTTGGAATCTTTTTTATTTTATTTTTTTTTTTACTGCTGCACTGTGAGGTTAAGGGCAGGAAGCAGCAAAACCAATCTGTGGCCTGAAATATCAAGCTGCATTCAGTAGGTTTTGCCAGTAGCAGTAAGGGATGAATTGTGTTAAAGCCAAATCTGCAGAAAAAGCTTTTTATTTTCATCTATTGATATGAAAAGACTGGATCTTTGTTGACGAGAGGGGAAACTGAGGCTGCTGTTGAGCCCCAGATTGTGTATATAATCTTCTGTAAGTGTATCAAGGAGAAACTTCTGCTGTGAATTAGGACTTTTTTGTATACATCTGTTGTGGGAAAGGATTCGGTTGTTGCTTCGCAGAAGCCACAGCAAGTGTTCTAGTCAATTTGCAGCAGTTATTACTGGTGAGTATCTTGTTTAGGAAATGACATGGTGTAATAGCTGAACACTTAAAGTAGCTTCAGATAGTCCAAATGTGGTTAGAGTCAGAAAAATTACTTCTATTCAAAAAAAAGTGGGGTTTCATATTTGTTCGTGTGCAGCTGGATGATTTAAAGAAATGATTTGTTAGTGCTAGACGTTCCCCCGGTGGTCTGAGAGTCCGGCTGCAACCTTTCTGCCCGCTGCGTTTCCATCGGGAAGGGAGGTCCCGCGCGGACGGTGCGGCTGACCGGGGGAAAAGAGGAATCGCCCCATACGTAGCAGAGAAAAGGCCGTTAGCGTGTCTGTCCGTTCACAGGTGTCTTGTTACCGCATTTTGTGTGGCCAGGTCTTGTGATGAAGTGGCAAGTCCTGCAGTGTTTGGCTGACACAGTGGCAGGGAGCAGCAGCTCGGCTCCAAGGTCCAAGCTTCCAGAATTGTGTAAAGGTGCAAACAAAATATTTCCCTATCTTCCCCTTCCCCCATAAGAAAGAAGTTGCTCCCGGTGCGTTCGCAGAAAACAGGGCTGTGTTAGAAATCACGACTGGGCCTTTCATTCTTCTCGGTGCTGTGATTAATAATCCAACCCACTTTTAAACTGTCTTCTATTCCACACCCTACCGTGCAAACAGCTAAGCAGGACAGATCTCTCTTTAATTAGATACCTGAACGTTGGTATTGCTAAGAGTATTAGTGCCACAGGCATTAGGTGTGCACCGGCTCTTTTTCTGTGGATTGTTTTCTAAGCACTTTTTAAATAATTCGGGAAGGCTGCAATTATTGGCAGTGACTCTCAAGCATTTTGTCTCTGTGATCTTCTAATTCAGCTTTGGAACATTTTATTTGCTTGCTTTGGTCAGCATGATTCTGTGGTTAGGGTTGTGTCCGGGGAGGACTGGGGTTTTCGTGCCATAAACTTGCTGTGGGACCTCGGATAAGTCGTGTTAGCCGTGCCCTGGTTTGCTCACCTATGCCACGGATGCTACCTATTTTCCTCTGTAGAGGAGGACTTGTTTTTTTTATGTAGCACCCAGGGCTTGCTTGGCATGCGCACGAAAACTGTTGTGTAGGTGGCTTCCCTTTCTTTGAAACTCCGTTGGGAGAGTTTTGTCCTGCTTCCTTCCAGACACGCTGCGTGCAGGCTGAGGTTTCCATGCCGTGCACGCAGAGGGCAGCGACCTGGTGCTGCCTGGTTTGGTTGGCAGAAGAGATGGTTAGAAGTTGAAGGGAGGTGCAGCGGTGCTGTGGAGGGTGTGTGGGAGCCAGATTAAATGGGTAAGGAGTTGGGAGCAGATGTGGATTGATTGAAGTGGCACAGCCTTCGAGCAAAGTGCTCCGAGTGCAGCACGTCGGATTGGAATCTCTGTTAACTCTGAGTAAAAGTGTCTTAACTGTGTAGGCAGTGACTCAAAACCTCTGTGACTGATTAATCTAACGTTGGCTCTATAACATAGGTGGGTGTCTGGGCTGGGGCGAATTTTTCTGGCTATTGACTTCCCATCAGGCTCTACCCGGGTGCTGAGTCCTCCAGTGTCCTGGGACTTGCTCGGGAGCGCCAGCGTGTTTATGTCAGATGGAGAGTGAGAACACATTAGCTTAATTTTCGCTTTGCTTTGAGAGTTTCTCAGCAGGGTGTCTTGAAGTGCCAAACAGGTTTTGGAAATATCCATATGCTCGTACAGGTTACCTCAGGTACTCCATGAGGGAGTTACTGTGGGCGAAGACGTGGTGTGAGGAGCGTTAGGTGGGTGAGGAGTGTTAGATGGGTCAGGTTGTGTTGAGGATGCTGAGGATGTCAGAACCAAGCCAGTTATCGCCTGCTGGCAGATGCCAGGGTTTGAATAGTTGCAGTATCCCCTGGGTCGCAGGGGCTGGGGGCAGGAGCAGAGCCGAGGAGGCAGGGCTCCCAGGGCGTTTTTCCGATTGCTAGGTTACACTCCTTCCCAGGAGCATCATTTTACGGCTCTTCGCTTTCGCAGGGCTCGCGGAAGATTTGTGCTCTGCCCCATCATGGGAGGAACAGTGAAATGCATCCATGACATACAGTTTACTTATTTTCTGTGCCCTGAACAAGGCTGGCTCAAGAGCTGGCTGGAGTATCCTGAACAGCTGTAAGAAGCCCAAGGACTGAGAAGGTGGTTTGTGTTCAGGCCTCTCGCAGGAGCGGTTTGAGCTGGGCACCGATGGTTTGGTTAAAATGCCAGGTGCAGTCTTGAATTTTGCATCTTGAAGTCTTTAGGGCTCACTCTATTGATTCTGGAATCAGCAGCCGCATTCAGCGTGTTCATGCAGGGGGATTTCTCTGTATTCACCTTGATGGCAGAGTGGATGCTTGTGAGGCTTGAGTGGACTGAGTGGATGTTTGTGAGATTCCGTGATGGCTTTTTTGATCTGTGTATCCCAGCTTATTACCCTACCATTGAGCTGTGTGTAGGAATTTCAGGACCAAACCCACAGCTATGCATGTAAACAAATAGGGCATATTGGAGCAATGAGATACTGACATTTCCATAGCCTTATTCCCCTCTGCTTTTGTCGGCGGTCCCGAAAGTGAAGAAATGTCACTGTAGATTTGAGTACGTCCAGCATGCTCTGCGTTTCGAAGACAGGAGCTACGCAGAGTTCAGCTGGACGCTGAATGTTTAACAAACGGGTTTTGGCACTTAGTAATGAAATGTGAAGGTTACAACTAAGCTTGTCCAGCAGTTAGTTGCTGAGAGCAGTGGTCTTGTCCTCCCCCATTTTCTTTCCCTGATATTCGAGTTGTTGCGTGGCTGTGCCAGAGTGAATCACTCCAGTTGGCTGATCTAACAGAAAACTTTTGTTTCGTGAGGCTGCACAGTTCCTAGTTCCAGCAGGAGGGAAGCGGCAGAAACCTGCAGGTGACAGTTCGGAGGAGCAGGATCTCCCCTTCCCTTCTCTTTTGCTTGGAGAGCAGTTGTCCTGCGGCTGCTCTCTGCGTGCAGTAATTCCTATCTGCGTATGGACTGCCTAAATAGTATGCGTTTATGGAAGTGGAGCCGTTCAGCTTGGGGACATGGGTCCTGCGCTGCTCTGGCTGATTAAGGCTGTTTGGCAGAGAACTGAACTTTCTAAAGATGAA